ATATAAATTCTCTCATCCGAATATCAAATGAATGCAATATAGATATAACTAAATAAATTGCCCGTAGGCTTATATCAATTAAATCAAAAGGAAGGGTTTAACCCTTTACGTCAATGGCATTCCGCCTGCACATATAGAGGCCCTGTGGCCAACAATTAAGAAAGATCCGAGATCTTGTAGCACATCCTGATAATGACCTGAAAAAGATTCAACAGCGTGGGATGAACATAAAGTCCAGTAAGGATCTCAACATGATCCTCAACAATAACAACTTACAAATAGCTATGATCATTGATCATGAATGCTAGCCTCATATCATATAAATAATGTGACATTTTGAAACCGAGATATACATACATAAATACTTTTCTCAAAAACATTCGATTCGTTTCACAACACCGAGGTTCGCTTTTACTACCCGTTTCCCCCATTTAATCAATTATTACATAACAATCATAATTTTCCATTTATGACAAAATACCACACAATAACTGTTTTGTTTGAAAACACGTTCATCAAATCCAATTACTTCACATTATTCGTAATCCAAACATAAACATGGTTCGACTCTACGAGTTCTTCACATTCTCAAATTTAGACTCAAAATTTAAAGGGGATATCATTAATAAAATAACTTATGGTAGGCAAAACTCCCTCGACACCTTTTATCACATTCCAGTATACACGAACACATCTACTCTACTCACAAGACAACTCAACCATAACGAATCATACCCATCATAACCAGATACACAGTCAAACCGAAACAGCAATGATAAACAATCTCCGCTTTACCTACCTGGAGCACGGTAAGCCATTGATACATCTCTCCACAATGTACTGCCATTTTACCAGACACCAGCTGGAAGGGAATGGTACCTCTGCCAATTCTCCAGGTGCTAGCTGGAAGGTAATGGTACCTCTGATTCTCAGCATAACCAATTTCTCCAGGTGCTAGCTAGAAGGTAATGGCACATCTGATTCTTAGCGCAATACACATTTTCCTTTTTCAATCATTACGTCCAACCACATTCACAGACAATACAAGTGTGCTACAGACACGTAATCATTTCAACATTTCATAACGTCATCCTCCACCGATGACCAAGGATAAAACCTCTAACAATATAAATTAAACACATAATGCCGTTAACCAATTCTCATGAAACTCTAGATCAAATTACAACCATAGTAAAAAAAAGACAAAATCCACATTTATAATTCAATCTCAATTAAACTTCTGAAATTCACACAACATTGAGCTTTACACTACCATTTCAAAACCCAAATCCTCTTATCCTTCCACATTAATATTCTCCATCCCTTTACCTCAATTCATTTATTCCAATTCTCAAATGAAAACATAACTAACTCTATTTATTTCATTTTTAACTAAGGGATTTCCACACATGGCCAAAGAAGTTATGATTTACTCAATTTCTATTTAGTGGGAGTGTAACACAATAACATTCAAAACTCAAAATTTAATTCCATTTCTATCAGTTTACATATTATCAATACTCTACTCTCACCTTTGAGTAACACAATATTAAGTAAATGTTAAATTTTATGAGGCTCCAATTAATCTCAAATAAATCACAATTCATTATGTTTAAAAATAATCAATCCAACACAAGTCAATATTCAACTCACAAGACCCATTTCATTCTTAAATAAATTTCCAACTCATTCATCACATTTCTTAAATTCATAATATAACTATCCTACAATTTCACCCCCTTATATCTATTAGGCATTTTTGCCAAAAATTAGGGCTTAAATACTCTCTAATCATGAATATGTTAAAACACACCCTAAATTTAACTCAACAACCATTCATTCCACAAAACCCCAAGCTCAACATCCAACCCTAGATCCCCTATCATGATTTTCAAAGAAAAATCCATACAAAATGGTTTTTATGCAATGAAACATACCACATGTCTATCTATAGTAGAGGTATTGAAGAAGATCAAAGAAATCCCTACCTCAAGGGAGAAGAGGAGAAGAATCTCGAAAATCAACTTTGCCGAAAAACGATCTCCACCGGTCAAGACGAAGCCCCCGAAACACTCATCATTTCGATATAAGGAACTACAATCAAAATCTCTACTGATTTCTTAAGATCAAAGTAGAAGTAAAAGTTTGAGGCTTTGTGTAGAGAGAGATGAGAGGAAAAAGAGAAAAAAAAGTAAAGAGAGAGTGATATAATTTGAAATGAAGGGAAAAGGGACAAAAATGCAAAAATATAGCTGTTTGCACAAAAATCGGAGTAGAAAAACGTGCCTGGCCGCACGTGTGGGATCCACTCCCGCACATGCGAAGCAGCCTCCCGCATGTGCGGCTCTCACCCCCGCATGTGTGGCTCTCCCCGCACCTCAACTCACGTACCTGCTTTTCTAGCAGTGTGCTCCAGCCCCTCTGCCCTGCTTCCCGCACGTGCGGCCCCTCTTCCGCACGTGAGGCCTAAGGCCACGCACGTGCGGCCTCGATTCCCAGCCTAGAAAAATTCTCGGCTTCTTTCTCGACACCCCGGAGCTGACCCTACATCCTCCAGAACGGGTGAAAACTCATATTCAAAACAACCACAGCAGAAAAAAAATTAAGAGAGAAATCTCCAACGACAACTTCTTTCCCAGCACAACTCCAAAGAAACGGGACGGCTTTTCGAACCGGTCATCACATCTACCATGACTTGGGTCGCCTTCCCATTGATCTTGGCATCTACGTACATTAAGCCCTAATCCTATTGGGTCAATGTAGTAGGCTTCGATTCGATGGCACCAAGCAGTTGTAGAGATCCTATCTGCGAAGTCTCCACTTTTTCCCGTTCTTCAATCATGGCATTGAGGGCTTGCCTCTTAGGACACTCTCTTGCCCAATGTGGCCTGTCACATAGGAAACACTTGGTCTTGGGTTTGAATATCTCCTTGTTCTCTCTGACCTTGCCTTTTCCCTCTTTGCCAGTGGAAGGCTTGTCGTGCCTTTCCTTACGTCGGATGTCTTCATCCTCATCCTCATCTCTTTCACTAGAACTTTTGTTAGGATCACCCTTGGATATCTTGCCTTTGTCATCCCCACATTTGTACTCAATAAGCGATTCTGCTACTGCCATGGCTGAGGCAAGATCTTGCACTCCACGTTGGTGCAATTTTTGCTCCGTCCATGGTTGTAGGTTGTCCAAGAAATTGAAGAGTAGTTCTTCATCAGTCATACTCGAGACTTCAAGCATAAGAGTAGAGAATTCCTTTACATAGTCCTAAATAGACTTTGTGTGTTTAAGATTTTTCATGCTCTTCCTTGCTTGGTAGGCCACATCCTCGGGATAAAATTGCTTCTTAAGTTCTCTTTTGAAATCATCCCAAGTTGCTATGGTGCACTTACCTCTCTCAAAGTCAGTATGTATGCGACACCACCATAGTGTTGCTGTATCGGCAAGGTAAAGGACTGCAGTTCGTACCTTAGCATATTTTGCGGTTACTACCATCCCTTCGAAGTATCTTTCCATATGCCATAAGTAGTTGTCCACTTCTTTGCCATCCCTCTTTCCGTCAAAAGGTTTTGGCTTTGGTACCTCTACCATAGATGTCCCCGGCACAGTCACAGCTCCCCCGGCTATGGCTATCTTGCACATCGCCACACCTGGGTGCATCTCCTCCAAACGGGCTTCAAAGTTCTCGAGCATTTTCAACACTTTGGCTTGGAAGGAATCATTGACAACTTGGCTATCATGCACCACGAAGTTGATGTTAGAAAGCATGCCATCATGGAGTTCAATGATCTCCCCCTAGAGACCTTCTACCCCCTTGAGACCTTCTACCTCATGTTCTAAGCTTTGCTCCAACACATCAAGATGCCTCTCCAAGTAGCCCACGGCAAGCTCTAACTTAGCTAGTCGAGTCTCCATGGCTGCAACAACTTCACGCCCATCTCGTGACTTGTCCTTCCTTACTTTGCTAGTGTTGTCCCTCCCATGGGTTTGCTCGGTCACCATAGTCTCGCTAGCATCGGAAGTCATGCTGCCTTTTCTTTCCTTGTCACAAGCCTGCTCTAATACCAAGTGTCAACGCCTTACTTGATGATACTAAGTCAAGCTAACTCACAAACTTGCAAGAAAGACAAGTAAGAAGATAAAGAGAGTTTGAGACAATGCCTTTGTATTCAGTTTGAGAAAACTTGTACAACTCTTAGATCATTTGGAGCAAATGAGCTCCTCCTATTTATAGGCTCCTTTGGAGCATTCTTGAACACACAAGAAAAGAACCATGGAGAAACTTCTCATGGAAGCTTTCCTTATCCTACAAGAGGGTTCTAGAATCCTCTCTAAAAATATCTATGCAAACATCCACCTCATTCTAGAAGTAAGTACAAGGGTCTTTTACCACCTTCATTTCTCTAGGGGGTTCTAGAAGCTTCTATTACTTCCATCCCTCTAATATTCACTCAAATGCTATAAAACCTATACTAGATTCTTCCAGGCACATTATAGAATTATGTACCATATTCTCTCATTTTCTCAAGTTTTCTAGGAGCTTCTAGAATATTCCATTAGCCTCTCTTCCTTGAGACTTCAACTTGGTAGGCAATTTTGTCTAGGTAATCTGGTTGGACGTGACACTATGCAGGCTAAGGTTTCAGGGAGCATTCACCTTTTGTGCTCATGCAAAGAGTATTGGTCTGTTGTTATTCCACCCACCCAACATCTAGCATTGGTAGTATCGTTACTAAGTAGTGGGCTTTATGATAGTAAACCGGACATGATTTTGCACATTCCTAGTTGGTGGAAATTTTTGTTTTTCAAATGTTGGTGTATGGTTGCATAACAAACAGTTGCTTCATTTCACTATTAATCCAATTCTGTGTCACCTAAGGTCCAAAGTTTTACTTGAATTTGTATCTGGAATGCCATTCTATTTAAAATTTTATCTTAAATGTTCTTTTATAGCATTATACTATTGAGTTCTACTGACCCTAATTATTTTATTCTTCTGTGTATATAGGTGAAGGATATCGGATTCACTGGGGTTTTTAGATTGATCTTTAAGCCGCTAGTCGATGAGTTCCCTTGCTTTGGAGCTATATGTTATTCATTAAGAGAAAAGGTGCCTTCTTTTTTCTTTGTTTTTATTTTCAAAAAAGAAAAAAAGAAAAAAAAAGAAAGAGCTTTTGAAACATTCCTCTTAAAATTTGAAATGCATATGTACATGAGTACATATGCACTTGGATGTGTATAAATTTTTTGTACAACATGTAATTGATTTCTTCTCAATATTGATGGATATAGTTCAGATATATAGCCCTTTGCAGTGCAGTCATTATCAACTGTGCAAATACTTTGGGCACTTCTGATGTCTATATTTGAGATGGTGGCCATGTATTTAAGAAGTTTTTAAACACACACACACATATATATGTGTTGTTATTTCTTTGGGAGGATTTATATATTACTGGTTCCTGAATTAGTTTATTGGATAAGAATTCTAGCATTTTGATGGTGCTATGCTACGAGACAAAAATTTCAACTGCCCAAGACCCAGACTTCTGCTAGTGTTGATTACTCAAGTAGGGGCAATCTCTCATTATATGTCCTACTTTCTCGTTGCAACTACAAGGTTAAGTGCACAGGAGATGTGGAAAGAATGTTGGTTTCAGACCTTGCAATTTAGCAGGGCATTATACTTTTGAGTGTTGGGTCTCTTAAATACAAGAGGGTAATTTGTAAACAAATTGGGCCGAGCTAGGAAGAGTCTTCTTTGGGAGTTGGACTGCATAATGGGCCGAGATAAGGGCTGGTGTAGCTCGGTCTTAGGCCAATAAGACATCTCATATTTTGGGTTTGGGCCGAACTATGGACCGAGGTGTCGGTAGGAAGAGGACCAAGCTAAACAATAGCTTTACAAGGCGTCATCTCGAAGTCAAGACTAATAGTAGTGCTTAAAGTATCACAGAGCCGAAGTAACTTGACTGACCGCAATGTTAGCCGAGGTAAAGATGTCAGCCGAAATAAGTGGGCCTGGTGGTTAGCCGAGGTATTGGTGAGAAAGGATGTCGGGCTTGGTATAGCTCAGCCGGTCTTGGTATAACTCGGCCGGGTGCCATCTACATCATTACTTAAGCGTGTGACCGAGGTAACTTAGCTCGGTGTGGTTGCAGCAGCTTATTAAAAGGAGGTAGCATCAATGGCGAGGGCCGAGCTGTGTATAGCTCGGTAGGGTGGCATCCGTTAGATCGACTTTCGATCACACGGTCCGAAGGGCAGGGGACCGAGATAAATCAGTTCGGCAGGAATGTATAACAGAGGTAAAAAGTTCAGCCATCTCACTTAGCTTGCAGTGATGAGACTTCTAGTAGGACTCTGCTAAGGAGAGTTAAAGTCCTACTGGAATTGTGTAAACCATCTCACTTGGTTGGTAGTGAGTAGGAGTATGACTCCTAGGAGGACTCTGCTAAGGAGAGTATAGTCCTACTAGGATTGTGCAAAACCATCTCACTTGGTTGGTAGTGAGTATGGTGTGTGATTCCTAAGAGGACTCTCATAGGGAGAGTTGGAATCCTACTAGGATTGTGCCAAAGTAAAGTCTATAAAAGCTCATGACCAGACCTATGGACAGGTATCCCAATTCTTACTCTAGAATACAGAGAGCATATTGTCTATTGTCTAGTTACTGACTTAGGCATCGGAGGGGTTTCTGGCACACACCCGCCGGTTAGCTCACGTTTGTGTTTTCAGGTGATAAAGCGACGACGTACGGAGGAGCGCAGACTTGGTCAACAGGATTATACGAGAAAGTTTATTTCTTTCCCGTACAATTGGCACCGTCCGTGGGAAATTCACAAAGAGCAAAACCTCTTGATCAAGTTTTCCTCTCTAGTTGAAAGCAATGGCGCACAATGAAGACTTGCCGCAATCTGCTATAGATGGGCAAACCCCGGAAGGGGGTGGGAGGCGCGAAGGTTTACCTTCTATCCCACCCAAGGCGGAAGATGAATCCACAGGTTCTCGAAGATCGCGTAAGGAAGCAAGACAAAGTAATAAGAAGAATGACGACTGACATAGAGTCTATGAAGAGCCAGATAAAAGGCAAAGGGAAGAAAAAAGGAGTCGGAAGACAGAGAAGCAGGATTCGAAGCAGAGAAAGTCGAAAAAGACGAAGACAGCGAAGGAAGATTCAGAAGAGCAGTGAAGAAGAAAGACGAGTTAAAAGACGAACTTCTCAGGATGATGATGATGGTTCTGAGTCGGAGGAAGAACAATTGCATGACCAAAGAGAGGGATGCAGCAGCAACAAGGAAGCTAGCTGAGCCAAAACTAACACAGAGGGAGGAAAAGAAAGCTGTTCAGAGGTCTAATGCTTTGGAGGAAGATGGCATTGGAGCTATAAAGAAAGTTTCAAGGCAAGAGTATTTGAAGAAACTGAAGGAGCTTAGAGATTATATAGAAAACGAACAATATCTATTTGATTGTATAAAATTGACTGAAGCAGAATATCGTGAACTGAGTTAAGGGATTCAATAACAATGATGTTGCCCCTTACTATGGAAGCCCTGATGGAGAGAGTGCACCAACACATCAGGGTAGAGGAAGATGGGGCACGCACCAAGGCAGAGTCTGGCACAACAGCAATGTCTGACAAAACATCTTCGGCAAAAGATAACACGGTTGACAAGTAGGACCGACCGCGCAAAAATCTTTGCCTAACTAGGGGCAAAGTGGGTTGGCAGGTTTGACCAACTATTTCTGAAAAGTCTTTGCCCGACTTGGGGGGCAATCAGGACGTTTGGTCGGAATAACCAAACACTTTATTCTAGGTTGGCCGGAATAACCAACTTAGAGGTTGGCTGGAATAAACCAACACCTCTCCTAAGCCCAGGATAAGGATCCAGGCTGCAGGACGTTTGGTCGGAATAACCAAACACTTTACTCTAGGTTTGCCGGAATAACCAACTTAGAGGTTGGCTAGAAAAACCAACACCCCTCCTAAGCCCAGGATAAGGATCCAGGCTACAGGAAGTTTGGTCGGAATAACCAAACACTTTACTCTAGGTTGGCCGGAATAACCAACTTAGAGGTTGGCTGGAATAAACCAACACCTCTCCTAAGCCCAGGATAAGGATCCAGGCTGCAGGACGTTTGGTCGGAATAAACAAACACTTTACTCTATGTTGGCCGGAACAACCAACTTAGAGGTTGGCTGGAATAAACCAACACCTCTCCTAAGCCCAGGATAAGGATCCAGGTTGCAGGACGTTTGGTCGGAATAACGAAACACTTTATTCTAGGTTGGCCGAAATAACCAACTTAGAGGTTGGCTGGAATAAACCAACACCTCTTCTAAGCCCAGGATAAGAATCCAGGCTGCAGGACGTTTGGTCGGAATAACCAAACACTTTACTCTAGGTTGGCCGGAATAACCAACTTAGAGGTTGGCTGGATTAAACCAACTCTTGGTACTCTTTAGCCGAAGTAAGGACATCGGGCTAAAGAGTGGTTGGCTGGATTAAACCAACTCTTGGTACTCTTCAGCCGAAATAAGGACATCGGCTAAAGAGTTGTTGACTGGATTAAACCAACTCTTGGTACTCTTCAGCCGAAGTAAGGACATCGGCTAAAGAGTGATTGGCTGGATTAAACCAACTCTTGGTACTCTTTAGCCGAAGTAAGTATATCGGCTAAAGAGTGGTTGGCTAAACCAACACTTGGTACTCTTTAGCCAAAGTAAGGATATCGGCTAAAGAGTGATTGACTGGAAAAACCAACACTTACTTCTCCTAAGCTGAGATAAGGATCTAGGTTGCAGGAAGTTGGCAGGTATGTCCAACAAAATTTCTGAAACTCTTTGGCCGGGATGATGGTTACCTCAGCCAAAATAGGTTGGCAAGGTTCGTATAAACCGAGTTAGTCTGTTCGACAAGGCACAGAAAGAACGACTCGACGTATACAAACTCGAAGGATATATACGTTAAAGGCAAAAAATCAGGACTATTCAAAATTTTGGCATGACGATGGTAACAAGGAGAACAAGGATATTGGGGGCACGCCATGTATCCTGGGAATAACGTCGTACCAGATTAGTGGAAGAACATGCTAAGCAACTGACAAGGCTTATTGGGACTGAACAAGCCGTGAAATCGAACAACTTCTTAGCTCGGCTGGAGGAAAAATAATCTCAATCATGCTACGCAGATGGAATTAAGGGGCAATTGAGAGGGTAATTTGTAAACAAATTGGGCCGAGCTAGGAAGAGTCTTCTTTGAGAGTTGGACTGCGTAATGGGCCAAGATAAGGGCTGGTGTAGCTCGGTCTTAGGCCAAGAAGACATCTCATATTTTGGGTTTGGGCCGAACTATGGACCGAGGTGTCGGTAGGAAGTGGACCGAGCTAAACGATAGCTTTACAAGGCGTCATCTCGAAGTCAAGACTAATAGTAGTGCTTAAAGTATCACAGAGCCGAAGTAACTTGACTGACCGCAATGTTAGCCGAGGTAAAGATGTCAGCCGAAATAAGTGGGCCTGGTGGTTAGCCAAGGTATTGGTGAGAAAGGATGTCGGGCTTGGTATAGCTCAGCCGGTCTTGGTATAACTCGGCCGGGCGCCATCTACATCATTACTTAAGCGTGTGACCGAGGTAACTTAGCTCGGTGTGGTTGCAGCAGCTTATTAAAAGGAGGTAGCATCAATGGCGAGGGTCGAGCTGTGTATAGCTCGGCAGGGTGGCATCCGTTAGATTGGCTTTTGATCACACGGTCCGAAGGGCAGGGGACCGAGATAAATCAGTTCGGCAGGAATGTATAACAGAGGTAAAAAGTTCAGACATCTCACTTAGCTTGCAGTGATGAGACTTCTAGTAGGACTCTGCTAAGGAGAGTTAAAGTCCTACTGGAATTGTGTAAACCATCTCACTTGGTTGGTAGTGAGTAGGAGTATGACTCCTAGGAGGACTCTGCTAAGGAGAGTATAGTCCTACTAGGATTGTGCAAAACCATCTCATTTGGTTGGTAGTGAGTAGGGTGTGTGATTCCTAGGAGGACTCTCATAGGAAGAGTTGGAATCCTACTAGGATTGTGCCAAAGTAAAGTCTATAAAAGCTCATGACCAGACCTATGGACAGGTATCCCAATTCTTACTCTAGAATACACAGAGTATATTGTCTATTGTCTAGTTGCTGACTTAGGCATCGGAGGGGTTTCTGGCACACACCCGTCGGTTAGCTCACGTTTGTGTTTTCAGGTGATAAAGCGATGACGTACGGAGGAGCGCAGACTTGGTCAACAGGATTATACGAGAAAGTTTATTTCTTTCCCGTACATATTAACATTTTTGTTTGATAAATAAAAAATTTTTGTATTTACGTTTGCATCTCTGACCAATATTGGTTTGCATCTGAGATAATAGTAGCCAATCCAAACGTGATTTCTTGTAGGCTTACCACTCTCTGTTTCTCTCACTTATTCTATATGTGCGTGCACACGTCTATCTTTCTCTCTCTGGCCCACATACACACTCAACACATGCTTATTCATAAACATACATATACATTGAGAGCCAAACATATGTGGTTTAGCTAATATCATTTTGTTTGCCTTGCAGAAAAAGATGGATTTCACTCTTAAAGTTATTGGTGGCGAGATTACATCAATTCCTGGTCTTTCTAATGCTATTGAGGTTTGTCCAACTATTATTGTTGCATTCTCCCTTCTCTCTCTCTGTCTCTCTCTCTTTCGCTCTCTCTCACATAGTCAAACTAATATATAGTTCGATGTGATGTGGTAATTTTATCTTGGATGCTAGTTTCTATTTCTTGATAGCATGTTGAATGTCATAGCATCTTGTAAATATTATATTATAAAGCCTGCCAGGTTTAAGTTTTGATCATCTCAGTATTTATACTAAATATTTCACAATCTTGTCAATTCAGATGATATAAATGTGGTTTGGTATGTTTGATGTAAATATTTCCTTGAATTTACAGTCAAATTATGATTGGTAAATTTCAACATTTTGTTGAAAGATTAATGCATGGTTTCCCACATGTGGAAATTGGGTCTCACCAATATTATTAAAGGTACGCCTAGGCCCAAGGCTCATCAAAGTGTAGTCAGTGCGCTTCGGAACATCTCAAGCCAAGCGATGTAAAACAAACCCCATAAAGGTGCATGAAGTGTGCGCTTTAGGCTTAGGCTCAAGGCGCACAACTTGTAAGCTTCTTCTAAAATGTTTTTTTAAATTACAATTTGATTTCATATATATATACACTTTTACATGCAGCTGTAAGGGAGTAAACTCCTAAACATGTATTGCAACCTAACACTCTTGAGCCCTAATTATACAAAGACATTGACTAGGCTAAGAGTTGTCATTCTTCTTCTTCTTCTTCTTCATCTTCATCTCCTTCTCCTTCTTTGTTTCGACACTTCGACATCGTTGTTGTTTTCAATTGCTCATAATTTATAAGTTAGATGTTTGTGTTTATGTAAACCTTGCATTATTTGTCTATGATAAAATATTGACGCTTGTTAGTATTTACATTTTAGAATATTTAATATTTCATTTTACTTATGTTGAACCTTAAATTATTTGTTTATATTTGTTAGATTTACAGAAGATAAAGAAAAGGAATGAGAGGGAAAAAAGGAGAAGAATAAGAGAACGGCATAATCATTAGGGTTCTTCCCTCTTACGTATGTATTTCTAGTAAAAGACGAAAGACCCAAACGAGACATCTACCCTTAGACATTAGCACTTAACACTCTTCCTTAAGTTAGTGCAAATATATCTCTCATGCCTAATTTGTAACAAATTAGATGAAAGACCTTACTGCTAAGACCTTTAGTGAACACATCTACCAATTGATCTTCAGACTTCACGAAAGGTATAAATATCAAAGCATTATTTAATTCCTCCTTAATAAAATGTCTATCGATCTCAATGTGCTTGTCCTATCATGTTAGATAGGATTGTGAACAATACTAATGGCAGCTTTATTATCACAGTATAGTCATAGAATCCCCACAAACACAACCTATATCTCCCAACAATGACTAAAGCCACATGAATTCACATGTACAAAGCGTTATAACTCGGTATTCTGCCTCTGCCCTAGACCAGGATACCACTGTCTGCTTCTTACTATGCTAAATGACTAAAAGTGCAATAACCGGATGTAAAGATTCTGCCATGTATAGAACCTGCCCATTCTGCATCTGTAAATGCCTCTAATTTGAAGTGACCATGATTAGAAAACAAAATCCCTTTTCCAGGAGCTGATTTAAGGTACTTCAAAATGCAATACACAACTTCCAAATGTGTTGCACGAGGATCATGTACAAATTGACTTATTATTCTTCGAGAAAATCTAGAATGTACTTCCTTTGAGAAATAGAGATACCTTTGTTAGACCTGGCAACTACAATCCCAAAAAAGTACCTCAACAGTCCAAGATCTTTAATCTCAAATTCTCTGGCCAACTGCATCTTCAAATGTGTCACATTCTCCTCATCATTCCCTGTCACAACTATATCATCCACATATACAATAAGCACAGTTACCTTATTTGCATTGCGTTTGACAAACATGGTATTATGAGAATATTAGGTTAATTATGTCAATATATTAGATTGATTGTGTGAATATTAGGTTTATTCTTATTTCCTATTTTAGATTAGGTATAGGATTGCTATATATATCGACTGCACTCTTTGTATTAAACACAATTGAATATATAGAAATCATTCTGAAAACTTACATGGTATCAGAACCAAGTTTGAAACCCTAGCAGCAATCACGAAACCCTTTGGTTTTGATCTGAGTTTCGGTCAGTTTGGTTGGTGGTTCACTCAAGATTGCTCTCTAGGTCATCGGAGTTCAACCCATCTGTCCTCGTGACCCATCCCTAGTTTGCAAGGCTTCAACCTATACCTAGTATGAGAGATATCTATGCACCAACTTGAGGGGGAGTGTTAAGTTTGATGAAGGGTAGTTTTGTAATTGTTCACATATTTTCTTATTAGTATAAATACATGTGGTTAGAGAGGAAAAAACCTAATTTTGGGGTGTTATGCCTCTTTCCTGCAAATCATTCTCTTTTGTTTTCTCTTGTTTTTCTTTTCACTCTTAGATATATTCACATAATTTTAATTGAAACTTTGGCATTTCAATGCGCCTAATCGTACTGGGTCTCAGTTAGAGTAGATTCTTCTAAATTACACTACTCAGAAAAGGTGTGATGTCAATCTGGAATACACAAAAAATAGCTACTGAATATCCTAGAGTCCTATATTAGCCTCATCTCGTTCATACTAGATAAACTACATGGAGGAACCTATAACACAGTGAGACCTGAAATGTACAAGTTGACTACCACGTTTTTAATTTAAAAAGAACTATGAAAACAATTAATTCAATGTAAAGCCAGTTTTTTTCTTTTTTTGGTTTTTTCTTTTGTATTAAACCACCACGCTATAACAGTATATATCTACTTTGACAAGATTTGCAGTTTTTTTAATATAGTGTCTTAAGATTTCAAGTTCGATGATGGAATGGTTTTGAGTTAAATTTTGATTTAAGGGCTTTGTTGCTGCTGTATGGTTGTAGTAGCATATATTGGGTGGGGTTGGGGCCTTGTGTTCAACTTAGGAAATGTTGTTTATTCAAAAAACTCAGCAGGCATCTTCCTAGAGGGAGCTTAGTTTTCACTGTGGTGATTAATTGAAAATAAAATTAAAAAAAATTGATAAATCCATTGCTTTATTTGATGAAGCCACATCCCATGCTCACATGGTGGGGGCCATCCATGTGAGGAGGCTTGTGGAAGAATAGAAAAGGACAATGAATTTAGAGTTGCCCAAAATTATTTGTAATGTCTATTAATTAACAAGTATTTTATTTTAATGATTACATTTTTATAGCAAAGATGGAAAGTAAAATAAAGCTTAAGTCAAAATAATAATTGTGAATAATACTAGATTTTTTATATATTGGAGAAATTATTGAGGCATCCAGTACATAATGCCCCGCTTGATTTAATTACAAATTTTATGTTCTCAGTGATTCAAATTACTTGGTTGAATATTGATTTGATACAATTTGAATATACCTAATGCCCACTTATAAAGCACCGACACTTTAAAACAAGTGTCATATCCATGTCGGACACATGGACACTCCGGAGACACGCAGACATGGCAGGGACACGTATGGGACACACCACATGGTGTGTCCACATATTTAATTAATTTCTTTTTAGGGAACACTTTGGGTACACATTAGGCACATACCAAATTATCTTTTCCTCCGTTTTATTTAGTACTTTTGATGAATGTTGAATGTTTATTGTTTTTTTCTTATATTTAAATACTTAACAAATCATCCTAAAAAAAATATATAAATTATAAGTGTTGATTTAAAAGTAATTTTTTTTAAAAATATAGAATTAGAGATAATTTCTGTTAATATTGATTGTTTGTAAATGTAATATTAATCTAGATATATATATATATATGAAAATATATTTTATTGCTGTGTCCCTGTCGTGTCCGTATTTTCATTTTTTTGAAATTGCTATGTCCGCATTTGTGTCTGTGTCTACATCCGCGTCCACTGCTTATATTACTTGAATATATATAATTTGTATAAGGTAGAAGTGGAAGAGAGAAGAGAAGAAAGAGATAAGAGAAAACGTAATACAGAAAATAAGGTTTTAGAATGAGATACCACTACTCATCCCTAGACCCAGGTATTTATATTAAATAGCCTGAGAAAATACAAGAGTGCCTTGGAATGAAATAAAAAACTAAATAAACTAACATAAAAAATATTAAACTCTACTCTCCCGTCAAGTTGGTGCATATGTGTCTCTCTTGTCCAACTTGCGTACAAGAGGGTGAAAACTCCTACTAGCAAGGCCTTTGGTAACGAAATTCATAAGTTGATCACTAGATTTCACAAATGGAGTATAAATCAGACCTTTATCCAACTTTTCTTAATAAAATAACGATCAATCTCGACATGTTTGGTTCAATCATGTTGAACAATATTATGAGCAGTATTGATAGCAACCTAATTGTCACAATATAGTTTCAAAAGACTATTACACACTAACCCCTAGTCTTTCAATAGAGTTTGAAGCCACAACAGTTCACAAACTCGTTGTGCCATAGCCCTATATTTAGTTTCTATACTAGACCTAGCAACAACAGCTTGCTTCTCTACATAACAAGATTCCCTCCAACAAAGGTGCAATAACCTGAGGTCAAACGTCTATCATCTAGAGATTCTACCCAATCTGCATCAATAAAGGTTTTAACTTTCAAATGTCCCTGATTAGAAAATAAAACATCCCTTTTCAAGGAGTTGACTTGAGGTACCACAAAATTTGAAACAATGCCTCTAAGTGAGTTGTGAGAGGATTACTCAAGAATTGACTCACAACACTTACTACTTAGGCAATATCAGGTCATGTGACAAGTAAATAAGCTTTCCTATCAAGCTCTGATAATGCTCCTTGTCTGTGAAATTAGCATTGTCACCTTTAAGTCGATGATTAACCTCAATAGGAGTAGCTGCTGGTTTGCATCCTAACATACATGTTTCCTTTTAAGAGATTAATCACATTCTTTCGCTGAGATAAAAATATGCCTTTTTCAGACTTATCAACTTCTATTCCC